ATAAATCAGTTTTTCCATAATTAAGAGCTCAATTTCTTTTTCTGTTGTTTTCTGAACATAGAAAATATAACATCATAAGAACATTAGTACATCATACCTGGAATATATGAAATGACACCAAACAGACATGAAATACAGCTCATCCGGTCTCATAACTGTCAAAAATAAATATACATGTGAAAATAAGCAACGAGAAAATACAGAGACAGAAACACAACGAATACCATGTGCTCCTAATGCACTCAACAGTGAGTTCGGTATAAACCATCAATTATCCGTCAACTCTATATCTCTTATGACTCAAATATGAAATGAAATACTTTTAAAAGAACAATTTTGACCTTAAAGAGAAATAAAATCATCTCTGACAACATTTTATTTTTGTTAGACCGGAGAGAGATTTTATACCTACCATTCTCCTCAACGGCTTTCATGCGACTGAGGAGAAAATGGGAGAAGGGTCTGGCTGCAGCCTTGTACTTGCACTCTCTTGCATTTTCAGACACTTGCGCTTCCGCTAACAAAGTCACTTGCCAATCGCCACTTGCACTCTCCGCTACCTGCGACGTCACTTGCAATCGGCACAAATCGTGCATGTTACCAATGGAGACAAGAAGCTGTGGTGATTAAACGATTAAAACTAAATTAGTACTATAACATACAGGGTCCTGCAAGAAAAAGACAAGACCCGCAAATCCGTGGCCACAGAACAGCAGAATATGAACGCAATGCACAAAGTCTCTCGTTAAGCATTTTCCTCCTGTAAAAAAACATAAACACTTAATATGGCATAATGTATTAAGACAGAACGCAATGCGTTAAATTGCACGTTAAACATTTTCCTCCTATAGAAAATCATTATAAATAAAACACATAATGCAGCTTAATGGACAAAGACAATGATATAAAAGAGCTGTAGTCAGTGTTGCATTTATTCTGGGCTCACCTGCTTGCCTGCTTTTCTGGTTCTTTCTTTCGACCCTTCCGGAAAGGACAACACGGAGACGTAGGCTGAGCTCACTCATCGCATTTACTGGAATATATGAAATGACACCAAACAGACATGAAATACAGCTCATCCGGTCTCATAACATTCTCCTCAACGGCTTTCATGCGACTGATTTACCAGTTCAACAAACAATAAATCAGTTTTTTCCATAATTAAGAGCTCAATTTCTTTTTCTGTTGTTTTCTGAACATAGAAAATATAACATCATAAGAACATTAGTACATCATACCTGGAATATATGAAATGACACCAAACAGACATGAAATACAGCTCATCCGGTCTCATAACTGTCAAAAATAAATATACATGTGAAAATAAGCAACGAGAAAATACAGAGACAGAAACACAACGAATACCATGTGCTCCTAATGCACTCAACAGTGCGTTCAGAATAAAACATCAATTGTCCGTCAACTCTATATCTCTTATGACTCAAATATGAAATAAAATACTTTTAAAATAACAATTTTGATCTTAAAGAGAAATCAAATCATCTCTGAAAACATTTTATTTCTGTTCGACCGGAGAGAGATTTTACACCTACCATTCTCCTCAACGGCTTTCATGCGACTGAGGAGAAAATGGCCAATTCCACTGATAGGTTACCTTAGTCACCTGTAGGTGTCCCCATATCCCTTTCTTTTAGATGCACTTAATACATTCTATTCAATTAATATCTTAGAATTATTTTGCAAGATGAACAGACATTTTGGCACAATTCATTACAAATTTATTTTCCCTGTTACATTCTCCCCCACTGAATTTGCCAAAATGTGGTAAACATAAAAACCAAAACACAAACAAAACTTTTTTTTTTTCTTTTCCTTCTGAAAACACAAACTGTAATTGCCATTCTTAGCATAATGCTTTTGATCAGTAACAACTGTTCATATAAAGAACTGACAGGAAGAAGTGCTGCGCATATCACTCCTCCTTAATCATGACCCAAATTAAGTGCCTTTTACATTTCATCTTAGCTATTCCTACACACACATATTGACATCATACACTGAATTTAATACTTCAATACTTCAGACTAAGGACTGAAATAGACAATTTACCCAGAGTTTGCTTTCTGTTTTAAAACAAAGTGTGTTGATTCATAGAAGAAATAAGGCGATTCACTGGTTTCAACAATCTGCCAAACTTTGACCTTTGACCCGGTAACTCAGTACCATCAACTGTACCATCAACATCAGGGTCAGAATTACAGACATTACTTTCTTCATGACTTCCCTGACAGACCGGGTGATCTGGAGAGACATTTCCAGAGACCACGCTTTGTGATGGAACATCAACAACTGCAGCTGAGTCGTGAGCATTACATGACTCAACCGTCTGCGGATCATTGTCAGCCACTACTAGGCCTTCATCATCAGGTACAGAGTCATCAGAGGATACAGAACAGTTATCAGAAACGTCATCATTTACAGAAAATACACTTTCGTCATCATTTTTTCCCACAATGTCACTCAAAGGGAGGAAATTTACACACAAAAGAAGGTTTCTGTGTTCCACCTTTAACTGACTCCACTGATAGGTTACCTTAGTCACCTGTAGGTGTCCCCATATCCCTAACTTTTATATGCACTTAATACATTCTATTCAATTCATATCTTAGAATTATTTTGCAAGATGAACAAACATTTTGGCACATAATTCATTACAAATTTCTTTTCCCTGTTACATTGGGTCATCTGAAGTCTTCATAAGAGGCTGGATCAGCAGGAGCAATCTATAGATTACACCAACAAAATGTGATGGAATCATACTAGGGAACTGGCACTTTTTCACAAAGACACAGAGCAGGGAAAGACTTGCCAAAACCAGTGAAGAGACTCATTGTGAGGTTGATGTCTCTTTACAGGGAGTCTTCAGGTGGTTCTCGTTCTGAAAGCAAGATAGCGAAGGAGAAAAACACAGGAGAAATGGTTAAGTGATGCTCCATAACATTGCAGTCCTGTGGCATCGCTGCTCAGTATGTTCCTTCAACACATTACTTCTTTAGTAGCTAAGACATTTAAGTATAAAATACAGTAATAATGTACAGGTTTACTGTGATTACTTCTATAATGTGGTACATAATAAATTTTTGGGGGAAATTTAGCCTAGCTATTCTCCAGCGTCTCCTCGTCCCTCGTGTGTGTGCAACGTGACACTAGCATGATTCTGAAATGAACTGCTCGCCTGTTTCAAACTTTTCATTCTCACTTAGGTCCATCTGCATCCTTTGCAATATATCCAAGTCTATTAAATAACTCCCCACCAGCAAAATCCCTTTTAAAAGCCTTAATTAAAGACATTCAGAAAATTAGTCTATCACAAACATCCTAAGACCTGTCAATAATTTTACAAACATTTTACTTCAGAGAGAGGGTTTTTTTGGAAAGAGGGTGTGTGCTTAATAATATGGCTGAAATCACTTACAGCACCTTTAATATTTTGAAACAAATTTCAATTATTCCACCACTGCCAGAAAACAGAAAAGCACAAAAGCTGTCAATGGAACTTTAAAAAGGTAATGTGAAGGTATACACACTCTTTAGGGTTAAATAAGGTACAAAGCATTGCCCAGTGACAGATTTGTACTCTTTGTACTTTTTCTGAGAGGGAAGCCCCTCATTATTGTTTGGACAGACAGGTATTCCCGTCACTCCAGCGACTGAGCCATGTCCACCAGTAAGCCTGCTTCAACAGATTGCAGTTTTGTCTGGTGGCGCTGGTGGAGAATCAATTACACACAGCAGCTTTAAAATCACGTTTTTTTTAAAGGAATGTATATAGGACTGTATAGGCATTTTCTTATTCAGGATAAACTAAATCCACTTGAGAATTGTTTACTGGTCAGTGAGATGGTGTCATCTTTACTGGAAATTAAATAAATAATTAATAATAAATAAATAAATAATTTCAACTTTCCATATGAGTTGACATGTCTGTTTTAGATGTGGTGATAAAAAGACCAGCGCACGGTTTTAAGCTAAAATGGCTTGATTGACCATCTTCTGCCCTCTTGAGGATGAAAGGAGCACCTGCAATCCCTTCTCTCCCAGTTATGCCAGATTTCCCGAGAAGTTGAGGTACACGTCAGAATGGAACCTGTACTGGTGAGCGGACGTGTACAGTGACCTCAGCAGTTTGTGCGTATCAGCTGACACACATACACTGACGGGAAAACATGGAACGCGGTAAGACCTGCCGAAAAACAGCAACGTTTGAATAGAATGAAATCTATTCATTATATTCTTGAATGTAGAATCTATAGTATCTACTCTATTCAACATTTGAATAGAATAAAACGCACTGATTGTGTTCTTGAATCTAAAATCATTAAAATCTGTTTTTTTTCAGATTCTCTGTAGTGCATAGGTACTTTTGCATTGCACTGCAATGCTAAGCGACATCATACAGTCAACGCGCTGTAAAAGCCTGCGCTGCCCAGTTGGGAGTGTGTCAGTAGTTAATAAAGCACCATGATGACGCTCTGTGTTACAGAAAAAACGGTGTATTTGTCTTTATAAGTGTAACATACAAGTCAAAATAATGTCCCTAACTCAGAAAAGTAAAGAATAACTCTTTAAATAGACAATACAACACATTACCCTCATCAAGGTGTGTGGCATAGGCTACTACTGGACTGAGGGGGGAAAAAACGTGAAAGAGACACGTGTATACTTGCATACACTTTAAATAATTAAAATAATAACTGTAATAAACTGTTACTGATGCATGTGGAAATTGGTAAATCTAAAGGCATATTAATGCTGCTACAGTATATGAAAGAATATTTACAGATAAACATATGCATAAATGTTTGAAAATCCACTGCCCACATTTTACTCTCAGTCTCTCACATATTTCTGTCTTTGTGCAGGTTTCTCTCTTGCTGGACCTTCTTCTAATCCTCGTAAACGTCAGGTGCGATTTTCAGCACGTCATGACATCCTGCTCCTCCGTGAGGTGATAGCACAGAACCCCTTCACTTCTAAAGAGTCAGGCCGGATCTGGGCAAGGGTGGGTGAAATTATTACTGCGACCCTACAGGATGAGAACTTTGAGGTGGATGGACGTAGATGCAGGGAGAGAACCATGCTACTGCTGGATTATTATAAAAAACAGGACTTTGCAAGTCTACGCAGGTTAGAAGAGGTCAACTTCCCTTTTTTAGCTGCCTTGAAAGTGCACTAAGTACTTTTTCCAGTTGAAATTAGTGAATTGAGGTAAATAAAGTGAAAATAAATTAATTAATACGTAAATATATAAGTGAATTGAAGTAAATAAATGAACAGTACTTTACTCTTAACTATGAGTATTTAATCACATGTGAAGATTAATTAAATACTACACACTTTATCTTGGTAACACAATTTGTATGTAGAACAACATGAGTTTTAAACAGAATATTTCTAAAAATCTGTAACTGAAAACATTTGCTTTTGCTTGATGTTGCAAGTGTCAGTAAGTCCAAAACACTCATGTTTCAAACTGTGAAACAAGAAATATTATTTAGTGCATTTTTAATCATGAAATGGTTATAAATGTTGTGATTAATTGTATTTCAAGGTTCCTTAATTAAAAGAGGTAAACAGTATGACTTGACACTAGTCAATTAAATGTGCACAGAAAAATGCTTTTAAAATCTTTTTTTAAATGCTTTTTAAAAAATGTAAGAAAAATGTTACAGGGTTCATTATAGTAGCTTTTTGTGTATATACAAAAGCTATTAGATCTGAGTTGTTGGTGTTCAGGTTTGGTACGGAACGCCTGTATGCACAGAAAGAAGACCTGTTGCACGAAGTTCTGGAGTTGGAGGCAGAGAAGAATCTTCTGGCCAGTGGGGAAAGTAAATACCAAGATGACGAACTCAGGAAAAGAGCACTGGAGGAATTATCATCGCCTGAGCCTGACAAATCCACTGTGCTGTCAGTAACAACAGCTCCCCCCACTGGTAAGGAGTCTTTAGTTTAGAAATGATTATAAACACATCTCATAGATCATTAAACAACAATCCAAGATTGTAGATCTTAAGATTTTATTGTCTCTTACATAAACATACTAAAGATACATAAATATTGTCTTTTACATACTCTACATTTGTGCAATTTTTATCAGTGGTAGCCAGCCCAGAACCTGAGGAGCAGGAGGAGGCTGAGCTCACAGCTCCCACAGCCAAACGGCCATGTCAGTGCTGCTGCCAGACCTACTCAGAGATCCTAAGCTTCCTAGAAAAGCGATTTGAAGCAGAGCAGAGTCTGCGAGAGGAGGAAATGGCACTGAGAAGAGAGGAGCTAGAAATCCAGAGGAGTAAAATTGCCCTGGATCGGGAGCGTCTCGGAGCAGAAAGAAAAGAACGGGAACGTCGGTTTGAGCTGGAGAGTCAGGAAAGGCAGGTTATACTGGATTTGTTAAAAGAGAAGGTCCTAAAAAACGAACGGAACTCTGACTGAAATTAGAAGTTTTTAGTTTCAGTCTTTGATGTTGAACTGTCCTTCCAGCCAATGCTATATTCTGCTTTCCCTGTTTGAATTGGTCTTATAGCATGAAAACAATATAAATCCATATTATAGTTGATTTTCATAACATTGAA